GTTTGTTTGTTTTGATTAATGGTAGTCCTGCTAGTAGGCTAACATCATGCCAAGGATGAAGCTGTAAGTCTCATCTACAGGGGATTGCCTGACAGGCTCTGTACCAATAACAGGAAAAAAAGGAACCCAAACATATGCTTAGCGCTTGAGCCATCGTGACCCTGTGCAAACTATCAATTTATTAGTCCAAATGGAGGTCCATCTGAAATAATGTTCATGAGCAGGGCTGTGCAATGCTTTCCTCTTGAAAAGAAAAGGGTGCTTCAGAACATGCAGAGGTACTCAGGAAGACCTGCCTGTAACTCCTTACATCAGATGAATCTTTTCTTGGTATGTATGTATGTATGTATGTATGTATGTATGTATGTATGTATGTAATGTATGTAGAGATGGTATTCAGCAGGTTCTGACTGGTTCTGGAGAACCGGTAGTGGACATTTTGAGTAGTTTGGAGAACCGCCAAATGCCACTTCTGACTGGCCCGGCCCCCATCTATTCTCTGCCTCTGGAGTTCCAGCTGATCGGCTGGGTCTTCTTTTGTTGCCCTGCACAGGAGAACGAAACTGGAAAGCAGGTTAGTGAGGTGGGCAGGTGTTAATAACCTTTAATGGATCTGGCCAAAATTAACTTTAAAAAATATTTAAGGTCAGAGTAATTCTTTTATTGTAGAAATGTAAACTTACATTATGTCTATGTTCTCTCTTAGGTACATCATTCTTCCAGGGTGGAGAGGAGAGAGAGGTTAAAAAAAAAGTAAGTACTTTTTATACCTGGTGGGAGGTGAATGTGCAGTGATGCATCATGGAACTTGTATGCTTAACATGAGGGACGGCAATATCAATGTTTTCTTATGTGACTAAAGCAGTTTGACATTTTACCTTAACAATTCCCCTTCTAAGGTCGAACTTATTTATAATTGAGGGAACATTAACATAGATATTATCATACACCATTTTTATAATTATACACAGTTTCTTTGTCAGGTATGAATGTTGTTTTGAGGGAAGAGGTTTGGTCAAAATATCTGCAGTTTGTTCCTTAGTCTCACAATGTACAGCTTTTATGAATCCAATTTCTGACAACTGTCTCACGTGCTTGTACTTAATGTCGACGTGCCTTGATCTGTGGCCTATAGCATTGACCTTGGATATATCTATTGCTGCTTTATTATCTTCCTGAATGATTATGGGGTATGAAGGTTCTTTCCAAATGTCCATCAATAAATCGACGAACCAAATTAAGTTATTTGCGGCATTTGATAAACAAACAAATTCGGCTTCTGTAGTTGAAGTTGATACAAGTTTTGGTTTTCCGGTATACCAGTGGATAGGACTATCATTCAGAAAAATAACATACCCTGAAGTACTTTTTCGTGTTTTGACATCTCCAGCCCAATCGGCATCTGTGTAACATGAAAGTCTAGGTGTGCTCGATGTATTTGGATTAAGCGAGAAAACTGCATCAGCGGTGTGTTTCAAATATCTCAATAATCTTTTGATCGCATTCCAGTGGTACATTTTTGAGTTATTTACGTGTCTTGAGAGTAAGTTGACTGATAGTGCTATGTCTGGTCTAGTCCAATTGGCTATATAAAGAAACGAACCAATTGTAGATCGATAAACTGTATTGTTCTTAAATACCTCATCATCATTAAACATGTTCTTTAGGAAGTCAGTCTGCATGGGGGTATATGATGGTTTGGCATCAGACATATTGCATTTCCCCAGTAATTCTAATATCTTTTCCTTTTATGATAGTATGAAACCACTATGTGATTCGGTAATCTGAACTCCTAAATATTTATTGATTTTTCCCAAAGATTTCAATGAAAAATATTTTTGAAGTTTTTGGGCGAATTGATCACATTTAAATTTACTTTTACATATGTATAATATATCATTGACATAGACAAGTATTTTTTCACATATACCTTGTTCCCTTTTAATAAATACACATTTGTCAGCTGATGTGGCGGTGAAACCTATTAGTCTTAAAGTTTTGGAAAAACAATCATACCATCTCTTACCCGATTGTCGCAGACCATAGAGACTTTTATTGAGTAGCCAGGTTTTTCCTTCATTACATTCAATTCCTGGTGGTGCTCTGACATATAATTCCTTATCTAAAGGTGCGTGTAGGTATGCTGTTTGTACATCGAATTGATACACGTGTTCATTTAGAATTGAGGCAATGACTAAGTGTCTTAACACTCTCTACCCTCACTGTAGGTGAATAAGTGTGTATGTAATCGTCTGGAAACTTTTGTGAGAAAACTTGTGCCACCAGTCTTGCTTTGTATATATTTTTGTTATCCTCTAAAGGTTTTATTTTGTATACCCATCTGGTACCGATATTTTTTGTTGTTCTCTGGAGCCTTTGAGAGGCTATAAACTTCTAGTTTTTTAATACTTTCCATCTCCCTCTGCATGGCCTCTTTCCATTTTAGCTGTTCATTTGGTGGGAGTGCGTGTATGTCATTATAATTTTTGGGTGTGGTTATGGTGGTATCAATAGACATCACATAGTCCCTTAAGGTTTTGGAATTTTGCTCTTATTAGATCTTAGTGATCTCCTGGGTATGTTTTCGATTGGGATATTTTTTTCAATGAGTCATCTGAACTGTACTCATCTATATCTTTGGTTTTGAGTATGTGGTGACCTTCCTTCCACTCCCTAACCCTAATGCTATTTCTGTTGGGTTTTGTTTTTGTAGTATGTGTGTGAAGTTGTGATTGTTTCTGATCAGTTTTGAATGTGTCTTTCATTTGAATGGATCTTACTCCAGTTTGTGTTTTCATGGAAATTTGCTGATCTCGATATGATTATCTTGTGATTACTATCCATGAATCTGTAAGCTTTGGTTTTTGGTTCATAATCAACAAATTTTTGATACTTTATCTCCTTTTCATCTGAGTTTCTTGGGTATGTGTACATCGGCAGTTACCCCAAAAACATGGAGATGTGCTAGTGTGGGCTTCTGATTATACATTATTTCATATGGGGTTTTCTATATCACACTTTACCATATTCTATTAAGGGTATAGTTTGAATACAAGACGGCCTCTCCCCAATATGAAAAGTTTAATCCGGCATCTTCTAATATGCATCTAACCATAGTCTGTAATACGCCATTCTTGCATTCTGCCACACCATTTTGAAAAGCAGAAAATGGCGAAGTTGTAAAATGTATTAAACCATGTTTATTAAACCAGTCACTGAATTCTTTGGAAAGAAATTCAGAACCGCGGTCTGTCATGATCTGTTTGATTTTAATGGTATGTTGGATTTCTACCCTCTTATAGAATTCTTTAAACTTGGTGAATGTTTCCCCCTTGTGTTTGAGGGTATATACGAAACCGTATCTACTATGGTCATCGACAATTGTGAGAAAATATTTTTTGTGGCCAATAGAGGGCTTCAAGGGGCCTACTAGATCCATGTGTACCAACTGAAAAATGTGCGTGGTGTTCCTTTTTTATTTTTTATTTTGGTTGGGGTCTTTCTATTGACTTTGAACTCTTACAAATGGAACACTCTAAATAATTTTCACAATTGTTTACTTTGAGTCCCTCAGAACAATTCAACATCTTTTTAACAACGGGAAAACCAATATGCCCCAACTTTCTATGCAAAATATGGGCACAATTATTATGTAAAGGTTTACCAATTGAAATATGCTTTGAGTCATTCATTTTGATTACAACATTTTCAACACTTACATCGTTAATATCATTATCACTTTCCCCTTCTATTTCCCCATCACTTGTGTCACTGTCGGCATTATCATCTTTTTCCCTCTCTTCCTTCCCATTCTTAACGCCATCATTTGATAAATTGGCTATGATTTGTGCGGTGGTATTTATCGTGGGTATAAAATAAGATAACCCACTGGTCACTATAACGTCCCCTACCTCCTTGCCATCATTGGTAAGTTGGACTGTGCCGTCCTTAAATAACACCCTGATTTTGGTACCTTTAACTACAGATAGGACGTTATATGGTATTTCAGGTATAAACAGAACTTCCTTGATTCTCCCAAGACCTGGGATGTGGACACCCCCCTTCCCAACCATCTGCATGAATTTTTGGTTGGCAACTTTAATGTTAAACGACACCTCGTCTAAAGAGGTGAACAGCTCTCTATTGCAAGATGTATGTGCTGTTGCCCTAGAGTCAATTAACCAACATTGTTCCCTTATGTTTACGCCAAGATTTAGTTCTACGTCTCTGATCCCATTCACGGAATCAGTGTCAGTCCTATTGTTCTCCCGACTGGATCTCTTGGGCTTGGTGATTTTCTATGTCTCAAATTTACACCGTGTCTTTGGCTACTGGGATGTCTACCTTGATATCTTTGTCCAGAGTTGGGCCTTTCCCTCTGATAACTTGTATAGTATGGCAGGGGATGCTTAATGGGTTCTCTGCCTTTAAAGGCCTTAGGACAATTCTTCTTAAAGTGATCTCTCGAACCACATGTATAACACCCTAGTAACGCATTTACCTGTTCCACAAAGTTAACTCTTTTTACAACCCTGTGTTCCTTATGAAGCAAAGCTCGATCCTTTCTGAGATTACCCTCAGCCACCAGCCTTCCTGGTAATGTTTTGTGTGAAATGTTGTCATAATTTAGATTATCCAATTGATTAAGAAAATAGTCCCAGCTAGAGTCGAAGGAATTAATTATAATACTAATAAAACCTCCTTCTGTGATTGTCTCACCCCTTTGTAACAGATCAGATCTCATGGCGTTTAAGTTGAGCAGATGTTCACTCATGCTTACTCCTGGTCTCAGTCTAGCAGAATGAAACTCTCTAGATATTCTGCTAGTGGTACTTCTATTTTTGCTATAAAACAGGTGACATATCTTCTCCCAAATCTCAGAGATGGTGGACCCATTGAGTATGATGTGGTATATGGCTGGTTCGAGGGAACTCAGCATTAAGCAAAACGCCCGATGGTGAATACAATCCACCTCTATAGACCATGGCTTTTGGGGTGGGTTCAGTATGAGAAAAAGGGCATTCTCCTTCATTAATGCAATCTGAAATTGTTGTGCTCAGTCCATTAGATTATTACCTGTTTCACATAGCTTGGGGAAACCATTAGGTAAGATGTTGTGTTGGACTAGATTGGTGTTCAAAAATTGTTGTTGTTGATGTTCTGGAATGTGTGCATATTGACAGAAGGACATTGGTATGCATGCTGTTAAGTTCGAAAAACTTACTGTCCCTTTTTTTTTGCAAGGTGACTGGAGCTGACTGTACATGCATGATGTTCTGATTTTGCGCCATGTTCATTTTATGTTGGTTTCCTGTGGAGGATGTTCCCTGAAGAGCTGTTGCAGAAAGTGAAGGGTTAAAAAATTGCATTGGAGCTGTGGTTTCGTTCTTAATTCCTGACTGGGGAACTGTAGCATCCTGAAGCTGTGCTGGATTCAGGAGGGGGTTTCCTAGCATTGGGAATCCCCCTTGGGAGGTTTGAGCTATTGGTGGTGCTAGTAAGTACCCTGGAGACACTAGGACCACTGTGAAAGCCAGTGAGGCCTTCGGGAGTGAAGATGGAGCTGTGAAATCTTTCTGGGTTGCTTGGAGATCGGAGATAATTGCTGGAGATACATTGAGGGGGAATGTGACTTCTGTGATTGCTGCAGCTGCTTCTGGAGCTTTTGGAATGTTGATTGAAGGTGCTGGGAGACTGCCTGTGGTTGTTGGGTCATGTGGAGATGACGTGGCTGCCGGGAGTTTGGTGCTCGTTGTCTGTGATTGTCTTGGAGTTGGGGGTGTGAATGCAGCCCTGAATGCTGCTGTGAGTGTTTCAATCGCTCTTGAGATTTCCTGTTCTGAGGGAGAGTTCTTGTTGACACTTTTATTTTGAGTGTTAGTCTTGGGTTCTCTATTATCTGGTGTTCTTTGTATTTCTATTGCTGTGGGCTCTGGTGTTGTTGGTCTTGTCAAGTGAAGAACTGACCAACCATCTTCACAAATTACTTTGTTAGACTCGCGATCAATCTGCCTGTTTCTCCCTTTGTCGTTCTTTTCAGGCTTATCTTTTTTCCTTTTTTCCCGCCTTCCATTTCAAAATTCCTGCAGTGATTGGTCATTGGTCAGCCATTTTTATTAGCTGTGGCTTTGAGCTGTGTAGGTCTGAAAATGGCGTCTCAGCATATTTTCCCACCTCCGGTAAGTTTAAACAAGATTGTAAAGGACTTACCGGTTCAGCGCTCGCAGTTTTATTTTCTTTCTCTGTTTGCCTTTCTTCAGTTCGAGGTTTGTCTGTATTTTGAAAGAGTGCTCTTAATTCTGCGATCGGGTCTTTGCTGCTTATTGATATTTCGATGATTCTGAGTGGGGTTGATTTTAAATCTTCATTTTTGTCAGTTATTTTGTCTTTCTCATGGGTTTCATTCTTGGGTGGCGTGAATGGTGTAGATGCATTTAGTTGTGGGTCTTCATCCAAACCAGTTCCTATTATTGCTCCCATTGGTGTCAGTTGAGCTGCCATTTGTCTGGTGAAGGCTCTCGTATTAATTCTGGATTTTTCTGATGATTTCTTTCTTTTTTTTATCCTGACATGTTTTGTTCAAGTTAATTTGGCAGCCATCCTCTGCTACCAATTTGTTAATAATCTTTAATGGATCTAGCCAAAATTAACTTTAAAAAATGTTTAAGGTCAGAGTAATTCTTTTATTGTAGAAATGTAAACTTATATTATGTCTATGTTCTCTCTCGGGTACATCATTCTTCCAGGGTGGAGATGAGAGAGAGGTTAAAAAAAAAGTAAGTACTTTTTATACCTGGTGGGAGGGGAATGTGCAGTGATGCATCATGGAACTTGTATGCTTAACATGAGGGACGGCAATATCAATGTTTTCTTATGTGACTAAAGCAGTTTGACATTTTACCTTAACAGGAGGGAATGGAGATTTCACAGTATCCTTCCCCTACCATGCCCACCAAGCCATGCCACACCCACCAAGCCACACCCACAGAACTGGTGGCAAAAATTTTTGAATCCTACCACTGAATGTATGTATGCATCTTTTGTGTATGTACAGGTGGTCCTTGATTTATGACCAAAACTGAGCCCAAAATTTCTGTTGCTAAGGGAGACAGTTGTTAGGTGAATATTGCCTCCTTTATGATCTTTCTTGCCACAGTTGTTAAGTGAATCACTGCAGTTTATAAGATGGTTGTTAAATGAATCTGGTTCCCCATTGACTTTGCTTGTCAGAAGATTTGAAAAAGTGATCACATGACCCCATGACACTGCAACCATCATAAATATGAATCAGTGGCCATGTTTCTGAATTTTGATCACCTGACTGCGAGGGTGCTACAGTGGTCATAAGTATGAAAGATGGCCATTAGAATAGAATAGAACAGAACAGAACAGAACAGAATAGAATAGAATAGAATAGAATAGAATAGAATAGAATAGAATAGAATAGAATAGAATACTTTATTGGCCAAGTGTGATTGGGCACACAAGGAATATGTCTTGGTGTAAATACTCTCAGGATACATAAAACCCTAATCCTAACCCTAACCCATAAAAGAAAGGATACATTCATCAAGAGTCAAGAATCATAAGGTGCAACACTTAATGATAGCCATAGGGTACAATAAGCAATCAAATCATACTAGGAAACAGTCAATATAAATTGTAAGGATACAAGCAACAAAGTTATAGTCATACAGTCACAAGTGGGAGGGGATGGGTGATAAGGAGTGATGAGAAGATTAGTAGTAATAGTAGTGCAGGCTTTCTAATAGTTGAACAGTGTTGAGGAAATTAATTGTTTAGCAGAGTGATGGCGTTCGGGAAAAAACTGTCCTTGTGTCTAGTTGTTCTGGTGTGCAGTGCTCTATAGTGTTGTTTTGAGGAAAGGAATTGAAACAGTTTATGTCCAGGATGTGAGGGGTCTGTAAATATTTTCACAGCCCTCTTTTTGACTTGTGCAGTATACAGGTCCTCTATTGAAGGCAGGTTGGTAGAAATTGTTTTTTCTGCAGTCCTAATTATCCTCTGAAGTCTGTGTCTGTCCTGTTGGGTTGCAGAACCAAACCAAACAGTTATAGAGGTGTAGATGATAGACTCAATAATTCCTTTGTAGAACTGTATCAGCAGCTCCTTGGGCAGTTTGAGCTTTCTGAGTTGGCACAGAAGGAACATTCTTTGTTGTGTTTTTTTGATGACATTTTTGATGTTAGGTGTCCATTTTAGGTCATGTGATATAATAGAACCTAGAAATTTGAAGGTCTCTACTGTCTCTACTCTATTCTACTAAGTCACTTTTTTCAGTGCCATTGTAACTTTGAACCATCCTTAAATGAACTGCTGTTAGTCGAGGACTACCAGTAGCTAGTCAGTCCTTTCTTCCTCCCTCCCTTCGCCCCTGCTTCCCTCCCTCCTTCCTTCCCTCACTCCCTCTCTCCCTTCCTTCAACTTTCTTTTCTTTTCTCTTCTATAGCCAACTCAACAAAGTGACTCTGGCCGGCTTACAATTCTAAAATTATATAACAATTAAAAACATTAAAACTAAAAACATCCACAAAATAAATAAGTACAAAATAAATAAGTACGGGGAGTTTCCGGTTTGTCGGCTTCGCGAGCGGTAGGGATTCGCGAAGCTGCGCGATCCCTGCCGCGCTAGCCGTTTTGGGGCTCCGACCCGGACGGGTGCGGAGCAAGGCTGCCCTGCAGGGGTAGCTGAAGGTAAGGGGGATCCGGAGGAAGGGTTTGGGGGTGTTGCAGACCCCCTCCCTGGCCGGCAGAACCCCCTGTTACCAGGACGGTGCAGCGGCGGTCCGTAATGGCCGCCACAAAGAAGTTGACAGCCGGGCAAGTATGCGCAGGAGGAAGAAGAGAAAGTTATTGAAAGTAAAAGTTCTTCTTGGTCGACCCAGGGCTTTGAGATTTATCTAATTTAATTCCTGGAAAAGATGGTTTTCTGATGATTTCTTCCACAAGAGAAAAAAAAGCGGCTATTTTGAGGTGCTGAAGGGAAAGTTTACTCTCCCTCCCGACGGAATTAAGCCGGAAGGGAGAGGATAAAGAAAATATATTAATTTGGATCTTGTTGGAGGAGATGCCTTGAAGACTTGAGGACAGAAATACAATCTTAATAAGGCTTTAAAATATAGACTTGGATTCTTTTTTTTTATTTGTTTGATACCACCCCTGGAAGAGGAAGGGGGAATTTTGGCTTGCTTGGATTTATTGAGGATTGTGGATTTTGGGATTGTTTTGCCTTTCTCTCGGAATATTTGGTTGGTGTAAGAAGAAAGAGGAATAAAGAAAAGAAAAGATTTATTTATAATGGCTTTCCTTTTTGAAGACCTGAGGGATGAATATGAGCAAACAAAAGCAGCCTGCAAAGATGGCATGGAAAAAGCTTTTCTATTTCTAGAAATGGCGCTGGTCAATTACCAACAGACAATGGAACAGATGGAAACGGAAGAAGAACAACAAGGAAGAGACGAAGACGCCATCTTCATTGAATCCCAAAACTTATCTAAGGAAGAAGGAAGGAAGAGAGCAAGGAAAATGAAGGACTTAAGATCTAAAAAAACATTTGAGAAAAAGAAAAATATGATGCAAAGTAAATATAATGATAACAAACAAGAGAAAAAGGGAACACAACAGAGAAGGGATCCCAGCAAGGTAGAGGTTAGAAGAAGAAGGGGGGGTAGGAAGATTTGGTGGGGGAAGAAAGAAAGGGGAAAGGCGGAGAAAAGCCTCAAAGCTTTAAAATTGGATGGGAGAAGAGGGATTTTTTTTAGAGACAAAGGATGAAATATAATTTTCTGTAAGAAAGATTCTGCTAAGGTACAGAAGATGGTATTGTAACATTTATATTTGAAATAGTAAATTAGAATGGTTTAAGATTTAATAAGAAATTAAAATGTTGAAGTTTTTAATAATGATTGATTTTTAAAATGTAATAAAATATTGAAGGAAAGGAGGATACAATGTATTTAAACATTTTTGGTGGATAGAATGTACCAAGCAGAACCAAATTGGGTATTTGTTATGCTGAATGTTAATTTTACTAACTTAGGGGGAGGATAGAAAGGCATCATACTCTGATTAGTGATTTCAGGAGAAATTTTTTTTTATTATAAGAAGAGATAGAGGGATAATTGAATGGGCAAAAGATACAAATTTAATGATTTAATTAAGATGGATTAAATAAGATAGAAATGTGAAGAGTGATATGTGCTATTATTTTAGCCCATGCAAAGAGAGGTAACTGGGGCCAAGGTACTTTACTAAAAGATTTTTTTTATGTTTGTTTGTGTTTGTTTGTGTTTTATGAGAATATTGGGGAAATTATTGTAGAAAGACAGGGAAAGATTCAATATGTAATGATTTGTTTGTTGTTGAAACTTTTAATAAAACTTGTTTTAAAAAAAAAAATAAATAAATAAGTACAAGCATTTCAGCTTTGCAAAACTCCGGGAAATGATGCAGCTGCTTTAAGGAGTTGGGGCAGGTACAATGGGAAGATCCCTGAGCATCTTTTTGCCTTCAAATGCAAGCACTGTGCAGCCCTCTTCTCTATTGGTCTATTCCAAAATATCTTTCCAAACATGATATTAAGTTATCAGAGATGCAATGGGTAAAGAATGAATTGGTTTCTTGATTCTCCTACCTAGTTAAATGCAATTTAAATGGCTGAAGATACAAATTATAATGTAATGACAGTGCTTTTAAAAAACTACTAAAGCATTCAAATGCATTTTGACATGTGAGAAGGTTTGGCTTCTGATTTTAGACAATATTTAGACATTACAGGAAAGAGCTGTGTTAATCTATAGTAGCACAAAATCAGGAGAAAGCTTATGCCATGGGGTAAAATTTGCCGGCGAGAAAAGATGCTACAAAACACCTTCAGATTTTTAGCACCAACAAAGCTGCTGTGATTGCACTAGATGGCCACCACTGTGGAGGAAATCAGAAATGAGGTGGCATAGTAATGGATGGGCAAGCTGTAGTGAAACACACTTCATTGAGGCAATATACACATTGTCATGCCCCCATCAGAGTCTGACTCTGAGGAGGAAGATGAACAGCTGACAGGGAGGGGGAGAGTGGCTCTGTTGGCTGTGGAGGAAACTGGGGAAGGGCAAAGTTAGGCTGGGCAGAGCAGGGGGAGAGGTAGAACAAGGGAGAGAGGGTTCAGATGAAGACCAAGGCCCACCCCCTCTTCATCTTAGGGCACACAGGGAAGAACGGCGAAGAGAGCAATGTGGGTTGTGTGGCTTACAAGGGAGGAAAGGGCCCTGATTCCCTTCACAAGGTACACTTGGGGATGGAGTTTAAAGGAGAGGCAAATGGGAGGAGCGATTGTAGGGGACAAACGCTGAGTTTATCTAGTGCTGGCTGCTGTTATCTGAGTTCCTGGCATCCTCCCAACTGGTTTGATTTACTGCCGTGTTACTTCACTTCTGGAACTTCTTATCTTAACCTGCTGGATTTATTACCTTATCTTGCCTTGT